TTAATATATCATCTTGATATAAACTTGTAATTATCTCTTCCTGTATACAGCAAATTCAATAATAAAAAAAAAAAAAATAATAATCCATAGTTTTATTTAAATAAACCTTATAAAGTTCAGAAGTAGGTAAAGTTCAAAATTAATCTTATCAAATATATAAATGATTAATTCAATTACAACAATGCATGAAAGATTAAATAATCTTTTTTTTTATTTAATTTGTATTAGATTTTTGGTAGATATTAAATTATTAGTCAAGATATTTAAAATAAGTTAATTATACGTATTTATTGTACATTACTATTCGTATTTATTTAGTTAATAAAATTTAAGATTTTTTATTTATTGTTGTGATTAGAATATAATATTTTAAATTAATAGATCATTTTATAATTTCTCTAGTTTTATTAATTTTGACTTAAGAATATGTGTTCAATATAAGCTAATTATGTTTATTATATTTACCAGATTATACTTTTAATTTTATTATTTGTATCTAGTAGACAAATATAATATGTATCATTCATCATCGATGTATTTACCATTAAATAACATATGTAACATTTTATAATATATTGTACATATCAGAGAGATATTCTATATATATATAAGACTACCAAGTATAGTACTCTAGACTTCTCTTACGTACGTATAGAATTTATTGCACCTGGATATTTTAGTTCACCCTATAGTAGTGATACATATAAAGACTATTTATCAATAGAGCGAAATTTAACCTTTAAAATACTCTAAAATTTGAAAGCTTAAATTAAAAATAAATAAATAAATTCAATCTAATTAAAAGAGAATACTGTATAAGTAAAAATTTTTTAAAAAAAAAATTAAAAAAATCTAGTATTATATCAATATAGTTTCTTTATCATGCTTTGAATCTAAATTCTAGAATCATCTGATTGATGATTATTACTAAATTTAATGTGATCATCAATATCCAAATTTAGTATATTCTCTGACTGTAATATAAACTATAACCTCCTCTAACTCTAAAGCTACTCTCACCCAAATCTTAAGCTATACTAATTTTTGTTTATAATTTATATATTAAACAAATTTGTAAATCAATAAATTATATACATCTGGTGTAAATTAAAAAATTTTCTTTTTTTATTACTATATTATAAATAAATTGCAATTTTAAGACAAATATCAGAAGATTCGATCATTAGGGTATCTCTGAAGCTGGCAAAGGTTTGGAGTTTTAATAAAAGAGAAATAACACTTTTGTTTAAAGAACTTGTTAGCTATAAGAACAATGATGCCTCTTTTAATAATATAAAATCTACATTTATTTTCTAGCTTGGGGTTAGTAAAAACTAAACTATACAATAAGTTATCTCTTGTTATGACAGGAATGCTTGGGATACTTCATCATAATCTTCAACAAGATTAACTAAAAATGTTATAAAAAGAACTTAAAGTAAATAGTCAAGATTTGCTTGATGATTCTTTAACAATCGATATTGAAAACACTAATATTGACTTTTACTTTGAGGAAGAATTTAATGAAAAGCCTTTGCCAGTTTGTACAGAAGCAGAGGATATAGATATGAAAGATGAACTAACAATAGAAAATCTTTTTAATATTTAAATATATGAACAAAATTAGAAAGAAACAATTGAAAGAAGTTCAGTTGTTTATTCACAAACACCTACTAGTATTAACAGTCATCCGATTTGTTACACTTATTTGCATCTAAATTTTTTATATATAAAATTATAGTAAAAATATATAGAATTATTTATAAACTTTGAAGCTGTGATGTTTCTTCCCTTACATATTAACTTTAAATTAAATTTTATGAAT